CATTGCTGAGACCTGACTACAAAGAACAGTATACATTTGTCTTCCTAAGACATTTACAAGTCATAACAGTATTTTCCTTTGATGTGAATCTGTGATAACAGAAACATACACTTTGGACTTTGGGTAATCAAGAAAACAAGCTTAAAATAAATTACAAAAATCAGAAGTTGTTACTGCTGACATCATCTGAATGAAGCAATGGATGAAGAAGTTCTCTCCAAATCATGCCAGAAACACCATTTTCATTTTCAAGCATTGCATCAAAGCATCGCAGTCCTTCCTCCAGCATTAAAAAATTGAAGGATGCCTGCTTTTTATTAGCTTCGTATTCCGGTCAAAAGGGAGGCACATAAGTTAAAGATGGATGAAGGGAGCAAAGAAATTCTGAGGCAAGAACCTTCTTCTTACGAGCTGGTGAGTTGCATTTTCGTATCCCCCTATAACCCTATTATTTGTAGCTAAAGAAATGCAATTTGGGGGTAACATGCTCAATCTCGAACATAAATACTCCCTTGAGAGGAGTATTTATGTTTTGAGGAGTTACTTTATTGATGCTGACATTGAATCTGTTGGTTTGTGGTGGTTAAATTTGTAAAGTTGTCATTCTTCAATTTTATGAATAAAACTTTGCATAGTTAGATACTTAGATAGGTGTATTTGATCCAAATCATTAAAGTGCTATTGTAGAATCATTTCGGTTGAAGTTCTGTATTTTTCATTAATTATCACCTTTTAGAATTCAGTATTAAAATTTTCTTTAACATATTCTGATTGTTTTTTGACAAGCAAATGAATGTGATAATTCAGCTTCTCTTAGTTCAATCGAGTGTACGAATTCTCTCTCAAGTGGGAGTGGCAATGCATCCAACAAAGGAGTCAAGAGAAGTGGGAAAAGGAGCAGTTTTTTGGAATGGATATCCTGGCAAAGAATCTCTAGGAGGAAATTCAATGGAAGTGAAAGAAGATGAGAAAAATACTGAATCTTTGAAATCTTTTTAGAACCATCCATCAAAGAACACAAAATGGTTGCTTGCAGTGAATATTTTCCCACTGAGATCTGGATGGTCTCATCTGTCTTTACTGTGATTGAACCTAACACTTTTTCCTCGTCCCTTCTATCTTCATGCTTTCCTTAGTTAAGCTACTTGTCTAGAAAGTGTTTGAACACACACAAATTTTTTGTTAGAAAGTGTTTTCATACTACAGAGTACTTTTTCAGAAATATTTAACTACAAAGGCTTTACTAGTTGTAGTAGTAGTGACAAAGTAAATTCTCCAGAAATCTTCCCCTTCTTGTCAAGGTGAGTTTGTTATTAATTTTATAATAACTTCGCATGTAATATAATGGTGGCTTGTGAATAAAAAAATGATAAGTAGTTAATGGAAAATAGTTTTGAGTTTTATGATATAGTGATATACTGATAAAATGTGGAATTTTTTGGTGTTAATGTGTTGTTTTATTGTTCTGTTGTAGGTAATTAATTGTCCTCAAAAGTATTGGAACAATGGATTAATATCAATGGGTTGCAAATTTTCGTGAGGGAAAAAGTTCAATTTAAGCAGCTTGCAGACTACTATATTCCAGCTCTTCATCAACTTGTTGTTGTCCTAACTGAGCCTTTATCAGCCTCCTCCTTCCTTGATCTAAGGACCAAACTTAATGTGATTGAATTTCCAAATCAATCACCCTAAGTTTGAATGGGGGATGTTAGGAATACTGTACAAGCTATTATTGTAATAAGCCTAGTCAACATAACAGATCATTACTAAGTCTCTTACATTTGTTCAAGTCTGTTATCAGTTTGTTAAAGTCTTAGTTACTATAAATACTTTTACAGTTCACTTGAATCAATGATAATCTTCTTTCAGCTTCTTTCTAAGTTCGGTTACGTTTCTAATAGACGCACACTGCTACATAAAATTCCACTGAAAAGTACCCCCAAAATGAAAATCTTATATCATAAGTGCCTTCCTGGAAAACATGAATGTCTAGCTACAATCCTCCCAATCCAGATAAACATTGGCAGGATAAACAAGATGCTCAATGTTGTTTTGAGGATCGTGGACAGGCTGGACCTCACCTTGGAATTCCTCACATTGATGGGGAAAACCATTCCGCTAGTCTCAAATTGGTTCACGAAAAGTGGGATAATTTCACAACAATATGTTTATTACTAGCTCTGTCCCATAATAAAATTCACGTAATCCTTTAACGACTTAAAGGAGTTAAGAGTCTCATAGAGGAAAACAGTAATTGAGAAATATCAATGCATAATAATAGCTAAATCCTTAATTGTCATTTGTCTTATACACCGTAGATGTATATTTATCTATGTGATATGATGATTTTGGCTTTCCTTCTTTTGCGGTGATACTTACGTCCTAGAACACATTAATATTTTATCTTTTCTCTCCATTTAAACTACTTTTCGTAGTAAGTGTGCCTAAAACTACTAGCATATTGGGAGTTTGGGATGGACATAGTACAATATAATGGGAGTTTGGGATTGTGGCTGGAACCATCCTGATCAAGAACACCCAAAGAAACAACCTTCTTGACTGTAGGAGCAAAATGATTATCTCATGACGAATGGGGATCTAGAGGATACACCAGAAAACAATCTCTTCCAGCTCAACCCATTGTTTTATTGACCAGCTCATCCATATGGACATTATGGGGGTTGTAACTTATAACTGGCTACAATATGACATACACTATATCTCCTATGTCCCTGAACCTCTTGATTGGGCAATTCTTTGGAGTTCCTTAAGACCTGCCCTAGCTGAAATTCTATCAAAAGCATACTGGCCATCAAAAGTTACATTAAGCAGATCAATTGCATTGTTGACATCTATATGCACTGATTCAACAATGCTTCAATTATCATAGAATCCAATCCACCAGAAAAGAGCAGTGCTATTAGAGCACAATTTTTGTGCACTGCCTGATAAACCGTATCTCTTAAAGTCCGTTTCATTACAGATTCCTTCAACGCAGTCAACACTCTCTGTACATTCAATGTAGAGGAGCACAATGTATCACTGCTATCATTGGGACAAATTAATGTCCTGCTGCCAACAAGAAATCTTTATCTGAGGAATTTTCAATTCCAGGGGCTAGCTGGGTTGTATGAATTTTCCCTCCCACCTAATTAGTTCTTTAAGATATACACAAAAACATATTTATACATTGTAGTGAGTATTATACATTCGCTTGGAGATATATATCCCTGGCCAGACAATTCTTGGACACATCTATTGAACATTTATCATGCCATTTATATTACAAACAGATCAACTTGCTAATTTCAAAACCAACCATCGGTAAATTTCTAACAAGAAAAAAGAATACAGAAAAGGAAGTAAACCCCCTTGAAAATTAATTTCCCACACCAGTCAATAATCCTCCAACCCTAAAATAAATATAAAAAATTAAACAAGTCCAATTCGTCCATAGCATCCATATCACAAACAGATCACGTCTACTAATTTCTTTGCATCCAATTCGGGATACGTTCCCTCGCATCCTGATTCTCTTGACCAGTCCAGAACAAAGGATAAGACGCTTTCCGTCGGCGGAGCCTTGTTCACAAATTGGAAGCACCACAGCACAAACGTTTGGTTCTCATTTTGGCTGATGTTTGAGTTGGTTTCATCGGCAAGTTTGATGTAACCGGCGAAGTGAGTTTTGTGTGGAACTTACGGAAGTAATGGATGTGACGGAGCATTGAACAGTTAACAAACTTTAAATATTTAATTTAGTTATTAGGGCCTAAAGTGCAAATAATGAAACTTACTTTACTAAATGAGTAGGATGCCAACGTGGCTTCCCACTGTAATGTGATTGGCCAAAATCTTAATGCACCCCGTACATCCTTTATTTTTTAATGCACCGTAGAAGAACCCATATTAATAACAGTCATACTTACAATAAAAGAACTTGGAGGGCAGAGATGGAATGAAAGAAATTAAACTATACTCAGGTCGTATGAGTTGGTTGACCGGTAACACATATTAGAGAAAAAAACGTTTAGGTCATATTATGGGAAAATAGAGGAATCTTAGTCATACTAGGGGTAAATTTCTCTAGAAGTTATGAGATGAAATTTACCAACAATTGTGTATAAGCTTTCTAAAGGTTTGTCAATGTTTCTATTTTAAATCTGCTCCAAAAACCTTTGGAAATTTCTCACAATAACTTATTTTGAATTTTTATGTCGACTGTGCAACACTCTTTTGTCGTGAGGTTCTTTATTCCTAATAATATTAGTCACAATGAGCACCATTTGCAATGTTAAAGTGTCATGCACTTATTTAGAAAATTTTAAAATCTGGATAAATAGATTTTTTTTTTCTAAAAAAACGTCGAACGTTTAAGAACCTTTTTACTCTTATGTTGCAACGGTCAATTATATGACCTTGCATATTGATACTATACATTTTTATTAGTATTACCATAAGTAGTGAGTGGATCACAAATTTTATTATTACAGAAAATGAAATGTGAGGGCAGATGATTAGGGGAAGATTCTGAATGATTAGTTACATTATATAGAAATTATATAGAAATTGCTCTAAATAGGAGCAAAAACGTTTTGAAATTCCAAAATAGGAGTATCATGTTTTTTATTCCCTTAATAGGAGTAATCTGTCGAGTTTGGAAGAAAATGCCATGTTTTAAAGCTAGTAATGTCAAACTTAGCAGAAATTTACTCTTATTCAAGGAATAAAAAACATGATACTCTTATTTAGGGAATGCTCCCTACATTATATTTTTACCGTCTAAGTGAATAAACATAAAACTTGGATAAATGTTATCATATTGTACCCCATTCGACCACTCAATATCATTTTTTCACATATGACGTGCTAGATACTTTTGTATTAATATTAATTTATCGATTTGATATACATTATAAATCAATGTGATTTGAGATGGAAAACAAGCGCGGAGGAATAATAAATTGATGCCCCTCAATGGCACAATATAAAACACAACATGGTATCAATATGAAATATACCAACAAAACATTGTAAATGCATGTAATAATATGATAGGAACGGAAAACAAAACATACATGGTACAACAAACTTTGCACTCGAGAAGTTTAATTTTCAATAATTAAGCGTAAAATAATTAGATTAATTAACCTAAACTACGTACGTATGATTCATTACTTGTTCATCAGTTTTCATATTACATCAGATACACTTACAATTAATACCCTTCGAACATATTCATTGAAGAGCCCAATGATTATTCCTCCGCACAAAACACTATCGATTGAATGCATTGCACACGAGCTTTCTATCCGGATTCCTCGGACGAAAAGTAAAAGTCCTACAATATATATGACCCTGTACGTCCATATGTATACATATATGAGGCAATGCAAAAAAGATCATAATATGGATGGGATTTTAGATTATGCGACCAAAGACCGAAAGTGTGTTGTGTGCGCGTGAACACGCATGTGTATGTCCTACGTAAATTCGGATCTGAGTCGAGTTTCATAGAAGGCCCCTATATATAGTGTTAGATTGTCATATAGCTTCCCTAAAATTAATGGATTAAATGTCACAAGATACAATGCTTAAATAAAAGTCTTACATTATAAAAAATGATACGGAGTACTAAATGTATTCAAGTACAACTCGCCGAATAGTTTTAGGGTCAAAAACTAAATGTATTTCAAAAATATTACTAAAATAAAACTTATTTACACAAATATGATGAATGGTTTCTACAACATAGAGTCATGGTAATTTATGTTTAAAAATCGAACATAAGTTATTATGATGCCATTGCTACATTTGTCACTAGTGACATTTTTGTAAACAATCTTTATTTTAGCCATATATTTGTAATTATTTCATAGTTTTATATGTAAAAGTATTAACCAAGTCCGTATAATCTATGTCAAAATTATATATTACGGAGTAGTAATTAACTCTAAATCTAATGGTCATAATTCATAACTTTGACAATTTATTTTCATGATTTGAAATTTGAATACATTTATGTAACTGAAGGTAAGATATATTCATTTGAGGTGCTTTCCGGTGGAACTTGTTGATAAAAGTTTGTGATCGTATTTTTCATGAAGTGATGATTATGTTCAAAAAAATTCAATATAAAATTTCATCAGGAAGTTAGTTAAATTATTGAAAAACATTGCGCCAAAAAATTTATATAACACATTGTTTTTCTATCATTTATTTAACTAAGTTCCCGATTGAATTTTAAACTGAAATTTTGTGGACATAATCTAAACTTCATTAATAACATGCTTACAAAATTTGATTAAAAAAATTCACTGGGAAGCACAACGGAACATTTTAGGCCGGTCAGACAGAATCATTCTCCTAAATATGTATAACGTAAAGGTATATAAAATTTTGGACCCCTAATTGTTTTCAGTTTTTTGGGGCCCTAAGGCCCAAGCCTCCCCAGCCTTGAGGAAGGACCGGCTCTGTGCACATAATGTAAATGTATAACATTTTGTTGCTACAAGAGGTCAGATCTTGGCCGGCCTCTTGGTCGATATGTGAGATATGTCGATTCACCGTCCATAATATGATGTCTCAGTCATCCGGTAAGGGTGACCAAGAGATATAATCAGGAGGCTTGTATGAACTCCATGTCATCAAACAAATATGACTAAGAAGTGTATAGTCGAGGGATCAATGTAAACTCTGGGCTCCTTTGCTTTTTAGCTAAAGACGCAACCTAAGTTAAGCTATCCGCGAATTTGACATGCATGAGATAATGACAATGGTAATGGTAATGATAATGCTAATGATAATGATAATGATAGTGATAATGATAATGATAATGATAAAGATAAAGATAAAGATAAAGATAAAGATAAAGATAAAGATAATGATAATGATAATGATAATGATAATGATAATGATAATGATAATGATAATGATAAAGATAAAGATAAAGATAAAGATAAAGATAAAGATAAAGATAAAGATAATGATAATGATAATGATAATGATAATGATAATGATAATGATAATGATAATGATAATGATAATGATAATGATAATGATAATTATTATTCTTGTTGTTGTTGATGTTGATGTTGTTGCCGCTACCGCTGTCGCTGCTATTGATGTTGTTGTTGTTATTAAAATTATTATTATTATTATTATTGTTGTTGTTGTTATTGTTATTATTATTGTTATTATTATTATTATTATTTTTATTATTATTATTATTATTATTATTATTATTATTATTGTTCATACTAGCTCCTTATCGTCATACGTCTTCATATTATGATAGGCTCTCATTGTCCCATCCCCATATTCGGACCGGCTCCTCATGCGTCGAATGTCTTTATCTAGTGACTGATCTCACTACTCCCTTCCTAGATGGCGACCATATATCGCGGATATCTTGCGGTCTCTAGCTGAAAAGCCAAGGAGCCCAGAGTTTACATTGACCCCTCGGTTATACACTTTTTAGTCATCTTTGTTTGATGACATGGAGTTCATACAGGCCTACCAGTTATATATCTTGGTCACCCTTATCAGATGACTGAGACATCATATTATGGAAGGTGAATTGATAGGCATGGTGAGCTACTCACCGCATCCTCCCACATGCATCAGACGATCAATGTTCACATACGAAGATCGGTCTCAGCCATCTCCTTAGCAGATGATGATCGTTGAAGTTGCACGTAGTGGCCGAAGGGCTCATTCCATTTGCTCCATTTTGGGGAATCTAGTGTGCTCTTTTTTTCCTCTTTAGGATTTTTGCTACATGGTTTTTCTTAGTGAGGTTTTTTAACAAGACATCTGTCCAATATGGACAAAGGGTGTCAACGCTCGGCCCCAAAAGGAGTCATCACGAGACATGTATTGCTCTACTCCTCTTCACCTCACTACATTCGTCTCAAGGAGCGGGGGACTGGGAGAACAAGGGACTTAGCGTCTCCATAAGTAGAAGAAACACACATTCAAATTTCTACAAGGATTGCCACATGCACCGACTGCACCATCACATCATATGCAGACTCAGTTGCCACAACAGGGAGTACGTACTTACATGCACATAGCCCCTCGACCCCACGATTGAACGTGATAGTCGTAGGCCTACGACCTTCGGCTGAGGATTTTCCCACAAGTTTGCCTCAGTCAGGGCTCGCCAATGAGATCGGATCAGCGGATAAGGAATTCGAGCAGGGTGCCTCAGCGACGACATAGTTTTACCCCACCAGACAACGACTAATCAACACATAGCCCAACTCCATTTCACCTCGAGTAGTCTCACCTCAGGTAGTGGGGTACTCTTAACAGAGTATATGGACTCGGACCCTCATATTGGGCACCTCGTCCTAGATCACTCAGTAGATAGCAATCACATCGTTGTACATTCCATTTACTCGTGTACACTTATTAGACTAGCTTACCTCGTGTATTAGCCACTTAGTGGCCCAATATTGTAATTGGGCCTTCCAGGCCCAAGTTTGGGAGCTCAATCCATATTTCTCCTATAAATACTCCCCTTGTGAGCCATGTAAAGGATTGCATTATCATTTATGTATATCACTTTCTCTATCTAGTTCTCCCTTCTATCTAAGAAAATAATCTATCAACTATACTATTCAGCTACAAAAGCTTTTTTAATTAAAGTTTTGAGAAACTATTGCAGTGTTTGTTTTGAAGAAAAAAGGAACATTATACAGTCTATACCATTGTAGAACACAGTCTGCAATTACCCCTCTCTTCCATCTGCCTGTGTTTATCTTCTGATTTACCAGATGGGTTCCGTTTAAAATAACAGCCACAAGTAAAAGTACTCCTAATGCAATGACACATTGCAAAACGGCATGGCTAAAAGCTTCGTCACATTCAGACATGTCCTTCTGCAGAGATCGTGCCTATTATACATGCATGTACATGAAACATATTATATACGGACTAAGTAATATTCCATTCATGGCAATCACATGCCAAAACAATATCAACACATCATTTAACAACAAAGCATGATTGAGTTCTTTCGGGGTTCATGGTTCATACTTCATACGATAGACAATGCCTTTACATGAGAGTGCACATATTTCTATTTCATAAATGCACAACTCTCAAATTTGACACTCAAGATTCATTTTCATTTTTCCATGGTGATGTTGTATTCTGAAGAGGAATGCCTCTTCTGGAGCACTTTTGGTTTGGTCCCCTACCCTTTTGTACACTTTTTTTTATCTTCATAAATTCTTGGCAAATGTTTCCCAGCATTTGTCACACCGACTAAGACGGTTTACCTATCGAGTTACAATATATAAATATATACACATTGGGTGCAGATCAAATAAAAATCATTCCTATTGTGAAAACTGCAAATCATTCCTATTAGTTTCGACAAGAAACTTTGACTTATTTACAAAAATGTCATCGCTAGGTCACAAACTTTTTCAACATGACGACTAGGTCACAAACAAGAGATTTCCCATGGGATTAGCTCTTTTATTTCCTTTTGTATTGCTTTTCATTTATTTTAGTACTTTTATTTTTCTCTCATGTACTTTTATTTTATTTTTCCTTTTTCGCACTGTACTCTTATTTTATATCAATAGAATCTCTTTTTTTTAAAAAAAACTAGACTTGATGATGAACATGTTCAAAATATTTCCTCAAAAAATTCTACCGGGAAGGGCCTCAAATTTCCTCGACCGGACAACGAGTCCTGTCAGGCCGGCCTTATAGGATTGCTACTCTACACACACACAATCAAATGAGAACCGTGAGAACACCACTTTTAAGTCAATACGATACACTATAACGTTTGTACGTTACACTTTTTCAAAATATGACATCTTTAAATAAATATGGTGGCAAATGCGTAAATATTTTGTCAACACGAAAAAGTGTAACATACTAAAGTATTGTCTATACTTTTGAAGTATAGACGATACTTTATACTACCTCCATCCCTGTGGGTTTTGCCAAGATTGAATTAGGTGGGAAATAAGAAAAGTAAAAATTGTGCGGTTGAGGTTTGTGCAGAGGTGAGAGAAATGTGCAGAATCACAAATTAGTTCTTTTAATAGGAAAGTGACAAAGTTTTTTGGGATAAACAAAAAAAGAAAGTTGGCAAAAGTCTAATAGGACGGAGGGAGTACCATACTGTTTGAGAACTACCAAAAACTTTGTATGCAATCCCACAAATTTCACATTGAAGATTTTTGTTTATGAAAAAATATATCAATAAGAACATTCAAGGCTTAATCCCAAAAGATTCAGGGGTCAGTTATAAATTGATACATGATGCGATAAAAAACAAGAACGAAAAAAAAGATGAGGAGCAAAACATATCATTTCTAACTCATCTAATTACAAAGATTTCTTATTTATGTATGAATAACTGATGCGTGTAAATATACACCGGTTTGATTGGAGCTTGACATTAAAATGTCTGCGTGCGAACGAATGTGGACACATGGTGTTTGAGTTGTCAATGGGAAGAATTCACAAATGTTTGATTTAATTTCTTCGCGCAAATAAAATATAGTCTGTGTACATGAAATAGGATGTGGGCAATAAACATGGGGAATGTACCTTAAAATATTGAACTCCCCCTGCGACAGTGCCAAGAAATACTCCCATAGCTTCCATCCCGACAACAGCCAGAAGCTGTTTAGTGCAATGACCTTTCATTTTAAGGTATGTTTGATGGATTTCAAGAAATCAAAACGGGCGCTGGAGAAGTCTGTATTGGACTTGATTAATAATGACAACGCTCCATCAGCTCTGCCTCGTTTTGGGCATATTTCCAAGACCAACTAATTGGATGCATGATTCCAGGAAAAGCCTCCTATCCTTTCTTAGTCAATCCAATTCCTTTTTCCTTTATACTCCTTTTCAATTGAGACTTCGAATTTTCTGCACACCTTTTTATTTTCTTCTTCTCCTTTCGGCCAGCTTTTTTGGCCCTGAAGGACTAAGGAGCCATTCTTTTTGTCTTATTCTTATTGGTTATTGTTTATTCTTATTTCATTTTCAAATCAGGTCAAAAAATATAAAAATTTGGCTAGACAAATCATAAAAATTCAAACCCGATTAGAGTAATTGAGATCAGATCAGATTAGATCTTAAAAAATTCAGAGCAGATGAACGAATCAACTTCTAAGGAGTATACGTTACGTTTTGCAACTAATTAATAGTGTTGTTGTTATGTTTTCTCTATTTTTACAGAGGAAATGGTCAAATAAGCTCTTATACTATTTCCAAAACATAACTTAAGCTCATGTACTAAAAAGTGTCATTTAAGTATGCTTGCTTTCAAAACGTGATCAATTTGACCATTTGTTCACTTTTTGCCCTGTAATAGCAGGTTATTTATATTAAAACTTCTAAAAAATGTTAAAATTTGAAGAAATATAAATAAAAATTGTGAAAAAAATTAGAACATCAAAGTCGATACATTTTAATTTTCAAAATTATTTTCATATTTTAAATCTATTTAAAAGTTTTTTTACATTTAATATTTTACTACGTATGTTTTTAAATTTTCACTTTTTTTAGTTTTCTGATTTTTTTTTTATTTTAACATTTTTAAATTATTATCTATTTTTATGTTCGTGCTATTTCTTATATTATTATTATATTATTTCTCAAATTTATATGAATTTTTATAAGATTTATCAATAGCCTTAATATTTATTTTGTAAAGTAACCTGCTATAGCAAATCAAAATGACTTGATTGTTTGTATTTTAAAAGTAAACATACTTATGTGATACTTTTTTAGTAGAAGAGCTTTAGTGATGGATTGCAAATAATAAAAGGGTCTATTTGACTCTTTTCGCATTTTTATATACTCTGTAAATCAATACTTTTTTCCTTGAAATAAATTCCAACTCTACAACTTTTATTTTGTAAACATTCATACCTAGTCAACATTTAGTTTATACTAGAATATATCATACTCGGTATCTCCTCCAATTACAATATAAGTTTCTTGTAAAAACATACATGTATTTAGATTAACCAACTTTGGTTCTTACTGTCAAAAAAAAACTTTGATTGTTTGTTTTTGCTATTCATTACTCTGGTATTCATTGTATCCGTAGAAAATGAACGTTTTTGTAGTCACATATGCATCCTTATCTATTCTAATATAAAAAGCAAAAGAAGTTTGAGGAATAGTGTTCCCTCCAATAAATGTTAACATCAAGTTTTATTTTAATTTTTATTGAATACTTTATTTTGATTAATATACTAATTTTCTATTGGTTGAAATGGGTGGTGAGAATAGTCAAATACTTAAACCTTATTGGTTGAAATGGGTGGTGGGAATAATCAAATACTTAAACCTTATTGGTTGAAATGCGTGGTGGGCATAATGAAGCTTATTGATTATTTCCAAATTCCTAAAAGATTGCAATGAACTTTCAGCTATAAAAGTAATGTGGATGTAAGAAGGTTTTCACATTTGTTTATTCTCATATCAATAAATATATATTATTGCTCAAGTTGTTAGTATTATTTTGTAACAATTGATTTCACCAAAAATTGGTTGAAAAAAACATATCGTAATTTTATAATTGTAGGTTTGACAAAAAGAAATAATTTAAAAGACATTGATGGAAGGGATATTTTTTAAATAAAGTGTTGTATTTATTAGAGTTGTGCTATTTAAATAAAAAAAAGTCATCTTAAAATTATCAAATTCATAGAAGTCTGTGTTTGATGTGTGTTACATCTATGTTGTCTTTTGATATACCGGGTCGAGAAGGGCTGGAGTGGAGATTGGATGTTGGGGACAAATAATGGGTAGGCAATAACCGTTTGGAATTCGTTTATGGCGATTCGGGTTTCGGGTTGATCAACCTCGTGAATGAGTTCATCGGTCTCCCAACAGTTTGAAATATTTAAAGGTAGGTTTAGTGTAGTTGTATTTAATGAGATTGGGTTACTATTAATGGCACATGACATGTTTGTTCGCACGTGTGTGTACAAGTGTACAATTTTTAAAATTGGTGGAATTGTTGTGTTTAAAGCGTCTTTAAAAAAAATTAAAAAATGTTTTAAGTGTGTTTTGTTAAAAATGCAAACAAACATCTTCCATATTTTTTGGAGAATGAAAAATGATAAACATAATTTTAGGATGCTTATTTGTTTAAAAATTATCCATCGAAAATTATCAAAATAATCTGGAAATGAAAAAGATTTTTAACTATAAACGTATGGAGTCCAGATCTGTAGAGTTTCGATGATGTGCTTCACATAAAGTCGGTTTTAGGATGCTTATTTGTCAAAAAATGTGTATTTGACGATCGATTTATAAAAAATGAGATTAATCTTTTATTAAACAATTATCAAAACAAATCTAGAAATGAAAATCGATTAGAAACATGAACACGGATCTTCCAGATCTGTGGACTTTGGACGATGTTGTTCATATAAAATCGGTTTGTCGTTGCTCATTCGTGATAAACGTCAAAGCGAGATGTGGTTTGTGAGGTGGTTGGATTTAGATCTTACCCCTGACATGTAAATCTAGGCGGAAGAATGAAACGTTTACGGATCCATGGCCATGGAACTTCCAGATCTATAAAGTTTGTGTGTTGTAGTTATAAAAAAAAAGTTTTAGTTTGGTTATTCTTGGAAAACATGAAATCGACGAAGGCTTGCATGTAGAAGAAGGAAAATGAACTTACCGTGCAGTCTGACTAAATGCGCAGATTGACGCCGTATTGTGCCGATGTTCGTTCGGTTGTGGCTTCACAGTGGGATAAGGGATGAGAACATGGCGATGATGTTCAGCGACCACTTCGTTTTTCCAATCGATTGGATAAACTGCGGTTGAGTGTCATGGTCGGAGTTTAGAGAGAGGGAAGGTCGATCTGGCTAGGTGTCGATGAAGAAAGGGGAGGGTTTGTGGGAGGGATCGTTTTCAGAGTCGTTATAAACGAACTTACATCGGGAGGGGTTTACATGGATTATTGGGCTACTTCTGCGGCCCGTTTAGTTGCTGAACACCGAAAACACATAGGCTGCTCTGGATCGGCCCGTACAAATAGCTTAAGGTTTCTTCAGTTTAGATGAATGCCCAAATTTGGACATTTAAGTTAATACGTATGAAGGAGTATGTACTCCCTCCGTATTTTAAAGCTTGCTACACTTTCCTATTTGGGGTGCATTTTTTTATAAAAAATAGAAAAAATATGAATATAAAATCTACTCCCTCCGTTCTTAAATATGAGTCCTCTTAGGCTTTGGCACGGGGTTTAAGAGGAAAATAATAGGGGTAGTGTAAAAGGTGTAGTGTGTTGTGGGTAAATGAAAAAGTAGGAAAGAGAAAGGGGTAATGGTAATAAAAGTGGGGGTATAAAGGTATTTTGATTGAAAAAACTTACCAAAAAGGGAAAGAGGGACAAATAATTAAAAACGTTCCAAAAAGGAATGTGAGACAGTTAATAAAGAACAGAGGGAGTATATTTTATTCGATCTTTTCTAATTATTCGTATATTCTACTTTTTAAGAATTTTGCATTGTAATTCTATATGATGTAGGTTTTCATGTATTTTATTTTTTTGAAAATGGATTTAGTATTTATCAATTTTGACATTATTTTTAGCATTTGTTATACTTTTATTTAAATATTTTGAAAATGCATATGTGCTTTTAAAAAAAAAAATCAATTATGTGAAGTTATTTAGAAAACGAACCATCATAGTGGCTCAAAATGCCTTGATTGAATGTATTTTAACAGTAAATGTACTTAATGACACCATTACTTTTTTTCGTATATGGTCAACACATATGTGTGAAATAATATAAGGATCTCTTTAAACACTTCCCACAAATTTATATTCAAGTATAGTTTAAAAATAAAATAACACACTTTTACATTATTGCACACCTCCTATTTTGCATGTTTACCCGGGCAATCATTTAGAAAATGAAAAAAATATTTGCTAAATCATTTGTGCATTGTGAGGGTGAATTTACTAGAAGGAAGAATTTTAATTTTAACACGAGTTAGTGCGGGACAGAATGTGTTAATTTCGAAAGCATTTCTTAACACGTCAAGACGTTAGCCACTGCAATTCCGGATACTAGAATACTTAAACATGACTTATTGTGTCATGAATGTAAATAAAATCAAAAATAGTTGGTGTCCCGTGTTGCATGGTTTGTTGTTGAAAACACTTATTAGTAGTTATTGTCAATTTTACGTGGTTGTGTCAGGAGCAATCAATCCTTTGAGCGTTAAACAATCACATTGCATACAATGACCGTGGAACAAAAATTGAAACAGAGAGTATTGTGGGTCTATAAAATGTGTGAACTACTCAGTAATCATTGATATGTCATACTGAATATGTTTCATTTTTACGTCAAACTTTATAATTGTACAGACAACAATCGTAAATGATTCAAGTAAAATTAGAAGTTTTTTAACTTTAAATTTGATTAAAATTAATTGCATCGTGAAAATTTTCAAATCGTGCATCGCACGAGTGCTCTACTAGGATCGAATAGAGTCGGTTAAGGCCCGATTGGCCCAGACGCCCAATACAATCGGGCCGAGCCGTGCATCGCACAGGTTCGATCTAGGATCGAATAGAGCCGGTTAAGGCCCGATTGAAGAATTATCATATTTGAGTATTGTTTAAATAATGCCATAACACACTTTCACATATTTGCACACCCCCTGATTTGCCAATTTATCCGGGCAATTCGTGTAAAAAATGCAATTCGTATAAATGCATAGTCACCATATTACTTGAGATGTTTATACTTAGACTTATTTCAGTCTCAAACCAAACCAAACTTAAACAA